AAAAAAAAAAAAAAAAAAAAAGCCACAGGCTGACTGTACACATTTTGTTGTGCAATTTCTGGGCCTGCATTTGTGTTTATAATCATGCTTGCTGTTGGCAAAGAGTATCAGCATGTGCTGAAAGGCAGGTTTCCCAGTCATGTGAACAGACAAAAAAGCAACGGGACAAAGAAATCATCCTAAACTCCAGAGTGTATGTCAGAGCTTTCTTTCAGTTCTGCTCACTGTCAAAGCACAAGGCCTTGGGCTGGGGATTTAGCTCAGTGGTTCTGCCACCTGCCTCACAAGCGGAAGTACCCGAGTTCGATCCCCGGTACCAAAAAAAAAAAAGCAGAAGGCCTTGCCAGAGTACATTTATCAGTAGGTAAGTAGTTAACAGTAATGAAGAAATGTTTTGGTTCCAGTTATAAGAGATTAGTCATGAAATACAGATTAAATAGCATGGAATTGCTAAATGTACCTTAATTTTACTGTTATGAAGTAAGCAATCCAGAACTTATAGCTGGTAGAATCTGAGAAAGGTTGCAGCCTGATTACCCTCAACGTGAATCCAATTCTCTACTACACACAGATTTAAGGCCGGGAATTTAGCTGAGTGTTTCCGGCACCTGCCTTGCAAGCGAAAGGTTCCGATCCCCAGTACCAAAAAAAAAACCAAAAAAAAAAACCCCACAAGATTTAGGAAAGCAGGCATCCTCTAAATTAAAACTAAAGTAAAAATACAGGGCCAGCCTAAATATGAAAATTAAGGTTATATCTTTTCACCATAAAACTCAGTATCAAGTGATTTAGTTTTAGCAAAACCACAAAATCAAGTTAAACCATGTTGTTAATTTAAATTTTATTGGTTCTAGGGGCTTTGTATTAAAATTGTAAAATATTTTGACCTAATAGCTGAGTAACAGCAAAAAAGTTTAACTGGTTTGTATGTAGCTTCATTCTGTAAATATCTAAGTGACTATAACACAGGGAAATAAAAAGTAAGAAACCTGGTGCTGAGAATTTTTCTATTAAAAGGGTATTTCTGAGACCGAGAAACCCTGCCCTGGTAAAAAACCATCCTACAGTCGTGAGGGCCATGGAAACCCTGAGTTCTCTGAAGAAACAAACTGAGCAAACAACTGAACAGTGTCTAACAGTGTTATTTTTTCCAATGAAAAATAATAAGGAACTATGAGAATGGGCAAACTCTTCAAGCACAAAATAAAGAGAAAATGACAAGAGAAAGGGCTGGACTGAGAACCAGCCAGAAGGCCAGTTTTTGGATTTGTTCTACAGCTTTGGGCAAATCATTTTTAATTTGGACCAAAAATATAGAACTCAACTAAAAAACTGAGTTTCTTTCTGAAAAGCAGAGTACAGATAATCTTTGAGGGAAGATTTGAAACAGACACATCAGCAACTGAGCAGAAAAAATTTTTTTCCAGATGAAACACAGTAATTTTCTTTTTCTATCCAGACATATACAGGACAGAACTCAAGAAACCGTCCTGGTGGGAAGATGGCAGGATTCTGCTTCCCTGGCCAGAAAACCCCAATCACTAGTGATTCTACAAGTCACCCAGAAACAGGGCAGAGTGCCCAGCAGGAAATTTTATTTTTGGCCAGGAGGGAACTCCTAGAAGCTTCTGGTTTCAGTCTGCATTTTCTTCAGCAGAATTCCACACTTGTGAATGATAGGCTCATTTTTTAAGTCTTTCAGGAGAATTCTTCCGTGATAACATGGCTTATACCTGTAATAAACGGCAGTCTTACTTTGTTGTAGAAATTCTATTGTAAATCAATGCCATCAGATTAAATCAATGTTGCTAATACAAATTTTCTTGGCTTTGGAACCTTTCCAATGCCACCTTCATAGTACCCATCTCCTCTCCTCTCAAAAGCCTGCATCACACACTTTCTGAACTGCCCTCACAACACTGGTCATCCACTCCACACTACACTCCCTACTTTAATTTCCTGTTTATCTGGATGGCTTGGTAGGCAGAATGTAAGCGCCTGGACCACAGCTGTCTTGCTCTGCAGTGTACCCAAGCCCAAGTACAGGGCAAGTGCCCAAAATTAGCTGCAGGAGGCCTGGACCAATGCTTTAAGCACTGTTGCTTTGTGGCTTTAGAACTATACACTGTATGCTTTTTTTTGGTGCTGGGGATCTAACACAGGGCCTCACACATACTGGGTATGTATGTACTCTAGCCACTGACCTACATCCCTCAACCCAATGATATACTTCTGACTAGAAAAAAATCTGTTCTGCAAAATAATGTTTTATAAAATTATAAAGCAAAGTGCCTGTTTCCTACCAGATTTTACTGGGATGATTTTCTAGTACTTTTTTTTGTACCAGGGATCAAACTCAGGACCTTGCGCTTGCGAGGCAGGCATCGGCACCACTGAGCTAAATTCCCCAGTCGTGGGATGATTTTCCAATTATGAAAATTCAGAGTTAACTTTTAAATTTCAGAAAGATTTCAAAATGAGTTCTGGCAGTCCAAATGTATTTCAAAAAGGTGTCAAAACTGTCAACAATATAAGAAATTACACTTTGCTATTTCCAGTCCATCTAACAGAAACATCTGTTGTAGCTGACATTAACTGGGCTGGGTACTGTGCTGCGCAAGGAGCTTTACACAGCTATCTAATACTCTGAACAATGCCATGAAGTCAGACACCACAAGCTCCTGCTTTAGAGGCTGGAGGTTCAGAGCCTCGGAGCAAGGCCACAGAGCCTGTAAGGTGGCCTTGACTGGAAATCTAATGGTGCTTCTACCTTGCCACCTTCCACTCAAACATTTAGTCTACATAAGCTTCCAAATCAAAAGTTAACAACACTACACGGTCAATGCTCAAGAAAAGTTTGATACAGGATATAAAATCATAATGCATCCTTACAAACAGGAGGCATTAAATAATACCTAACTTATGGAATGTTTTTTAAGACAATCAGTATTATTTACCATGCTTCAAACATTCATCAAAACAATTGCTAAGCACCTACTGCAGGCCACTCAGTTAAGATGCTGAGGGACATCCAGGCAACAGAACAAAAGGGCACCAATTTGTCTTCTCATGAGTCTTGAGTCTTACATTCATAAGGAGGTAACATAATGAGGACAACTAGGCAAACTAATACAAGTTGTTATAAATGCTGTGTAGACATCCTCTACCTTAAGGATGCCCTCAATATTTTTTAAAAGTTGAAATGCCTCTATTTTATCACTATTAGCTGGCCTTGAACACACTGGCCTCAAACAGTAATCCTCTGCCTCAGTCTCCAAAATATTGGGAATGCTGTGATTGTAGGCATATGCCACCACCCGGTGCATTATGGTGTTACCAGCAAAAGTTGTGCTGTAGAAAGGTGCAGTATCCAATCTATTTAAATCCCTGGTAAATCACCAACATCAGTTAAAGTATGAAAATGTCTCATTTTATCAAGGACTGTTACTACAGTGAATGTATTCAGTATGTATCACAAACATACACTATAAATCTTTAGTAAAAAATCTTTTAAAAACCCAAACTGATAATATTTGAAATTACGAAAAAAAAGTTACTGGCCATTGTTTGCAACATTAGCTTTTCCAGCCTGGGATTTAGTTCAGTGGCACTGCGCCTGCCTTGCAAGTGCAAGGTCCTCAGTTCGATCCCCAGTACCAAAAATCAAAACATTAGCTTTTCCTCATGAGCACCAACTTTTCACACAGCTGAAGAACAAAGTAGAAACAAAAACTACAGAAGAAAATTAGGACTACTCTGAGATTCCGAGGACTGAAAAAGCATTCTTGTCATATAAAAGACCTTACCCATTAAAAGGTTATTTTAGAGGAACAGCATACATAAAAGGCCCAGCTGATTTATAATAGTTTTAAGAATCTAAGGACATAACCAGTATAAAAATAAACCAAGGTTTTGCTGTTTTAAGCTAATCCCATTAAAGTAATCTTAATAAGCCACACCACATTCACTTTAGTGAACCACTAGCCTTGTATCTGAGGTTTAGAAAAAGATCTCCAACAAAAATGATTTTCTACAAAAAAGTTATAAAAATTCCTTTGGTTTCTCTGTAGCCACCAGTGGAAGACTTCCATTTCTGATCATCTTAATTGTTTCCACCCCAGGCCCTCTCCCAGCTTGCTGTAACTGCGGGTGTTATAGACACTTCAGGCTTTAAACATGACACCAATTTCTCAAGGGAGGTAGCCGCAAAACATTTTTCACTGCTCTCAACTAAGTATTTTGGTCTTCTGTACCTAAGATGAAGAGAGCTCATTGAAAAATCTTTAAATTTCTACGGCTGAACAAAACATTTTGATAACTATCAGTACTCTATACATCTGATCCTACATAAACCTGTGAGCCTTAATTATCAGTGGCACCCACCCCTTTCTAGACAAGGGATGAGTGGACTCTAGTCTAGTGGAGAAACTGCAGATTTCAGATAAATCAAGACCAATAAATAAATCTGCTCTTCATGCTTCAGATATGTAAGCATCTGAAGCTCCAACTGTAAATTAAAAGACACAGTTAAGCCCATCTAACAGCAATCATTTTCCTGCTTCAGGATCAGTAAACTTTACCTAGTGGAGTAGACTGGCACTTGATTGTGCAGAACAGTCTAGGTCATAAAAGGACGGTAGATCCAAAGACATATGCCAACCTCACCAACTTGAACCACTGACTGCTGCTGGGCTAATGGCCAGCCCAGCCCACTTCCACTTCCCATTGGAACCCAGGGTCTTTGCTCCAGGGCATCGTAGATGTCCTCAAGCACAACAGAAAGACAAATCTGGCCCTGTGAGGTTTCACTGCTGGCTTTTCCTGACAAGTAAGGGGTCACTGCTGACACAAGGAGAGTAATCCTTTTGATGGTGCGGTTTTTAAAAAGGTCTACAGATAGGGCCAGGGATTTAGCTCAGTGGCACTGCGCCTGCCACACAAGCACAAGGTCCTGAGTTCGATCCCCGGCAATCCTTCCTCCCTCCCCAAAGGTCTACAGATCACTGCAAGAAAGCTTTCCTGTCTTTTCTTTCTTTCTTTCTTGAGACAGGGTTTCACTGTGTAGTGCAGACTGGTCTCAAACTCCCAGAAATCCTCCTGCCTCAGCCTCCTGAGTGCTGGGATCACAGGTGTGCCCTACCATACCCAGCGCTGGTCCTGTCTTCTGCCTTTGTAAGCAGCACTTTGGGTTTGTAATGGACATGCTGCAAGGCAGGGGCTCGCGACAGGCATCTCCTAAGTCAGGGAATCAGAAACACATAACGTGGATACCAATGTTAAAACTAGCTGCAGGGCCAGGGATTTAGCTCAGTGGTTCCGCCACCTGCCTCGCAAGTGCAAGGAACCAAGTTCAATCCCCAGTACCAAAAAAACAAAAAAAAACAAGCTGCAAATGTTCATTAGTAAAGACTACTTTCATTTTCTTTCCTCAGCATTTTACGAACCTTTTAAAACCAGTATGCTTCTCCTTTAAGACCAGAGGCTGTTGCCTGTCTTAGAAACACTAGGATATAAATGGATTCATATTACACTAAAAAGCTGAACAGTTTCAGAATATCTGACTGAACACTAGCTTCAGAAGCATCCTTCTGTATAGGATCAAACAGCACTTTCAGCGAACCAGGGCACAGGTCACACAGTTTGGCGGTTCCCAAAGGTCAGGTCATTATGCAGTCCTGCAGTTTGACAGTGGTCTTTAGTGCACAGATGCTTCTTGCAAACCAGGATGCAAAATAAATTATAACCACCTGCTATGCAAGAAAAACTGTAGCAAAAAAAGACAGACAGACAGACTAGCCATCACTCTTCCTTGAGAGATTTAGAGTAAACTCTGCCCAAGTCTCACTTTTCTCCAACACATTCAGTGACTATTTAATGGCTAGTTTGTGTTCTCTCTAAGTCTCCCAAGTTTTATGTATTTATCGAAATAGCTAACTAACACCAGCTATACTAAGGTTTTATCAAGGTACACGTTTTTAAAAAGCTGTCTCGGTGGGTTGCAGGTGACCTGACACCTCTTGTCTGAAAAAGCTATTGAGCTTAGAGAACAGCAAAGCTACAATCTAAAGCCATTAAGATCTAAACCAACATTAAAAAAAAAATCAAACTTCATTTTTGAAAGTCTTTTATTACTACCACTGTGCCGTTTCTCAACTAACTCATACAGTCCTCAAGCTTAAAAGATGAATCTTCAGTATGTTTAAAAAGAAAAAAAGCCTACCAAGGTTTCAAAAGTCATATACCCTCCTTTTCATATTTAAAATTCTTTGGGAAAAAGGTTTTGGGGGCATTACAAAAAGCAGAAAATTTATTACCAATACCTTTAATTATATATATCCTCAACAAATCATCTTCAACTGATTCTCTGCCAATTTAACATCCATGAAAAAGTACCTATACTACGTAGCTAGCCTATTCCCAAGGCGTTTAAGTGCATTTTATATTAATTTCAACAAAAATAAAATATTTTAAAAATCTGCTTTTCAAGTACAACATGACATATAACCATTAACTTTTTTTTTTTTTAACTGACTTAATAGCAGCCATTTTTGTTTAGTGGGGTTTTTTTTTGTTTTTTGGGGACCGGAGATCGAACTCGGGTCCTTGCACTTTTTAGGCAGGCGGCTAAATCCCCGGCCCACCATTAACTATTAATGAACTATACATGAGGCCAGGAGCAGTGGCACATGCCTGTAGTCCCAGCTACTCTGGAGGCTGAGGCAGGAGGCTTTCAAGTTGAGGCCAGCCTGGGTAACTCTGAGACCTGTTTCAAAATAAAATTTAAAAAGAGTTGGGGATGTAGCTTGGTAGTAGAGCACTTGCCAAGCATACACAAAGCCCTGGGTTAAATCCCCAGTATCACAAATAAAATTTTTAAAATAAAGTAAAAAAAATAGATGAGTCAAATTTACCAGGTAAAACTTTCAGCACAATTTTAAAGATTTACACAATGTTATGTGAATAGAAACAGTAAAGGGCAAACCAGAACTTGTATCAACTAGACTTCAATGATCTTAAGGTTCTAACGGTTCCAATCCATAAAATCACAATTCTCCTGCTTTCATAGAGGTATAAATTCCCTCTAGCCTGGCCCCACCATACCACCCCTGCACAAATGTGCAGAACTTCAAAACTGAAACACTTAATAAAGAATTAATTCCTTAAATAAGGCGTGGTGGTGCACACCTGTAATCCCAGCACTTGGGAGGCTGAGGCAGAAGGATCAAGGCCAGCCTAAACTACATAGTGAGACCCAGGGGTGGGGGGTGGTGTGTGTGTGTAATTTCTTACAGCAAATTACTTTAATGTTTCTGACCAATCGCTACCTCATATAAACTGAACAACTATTAATTTGTATGAAAAACATGGTCCTTATATAAATGCCAGGCAATGAATGACAAGGTTTTCAGCTATAAATGGGAGCAACATTTCAAGAGCATTTCTGAGGTCCTTAGTGATATTTAGTGGATTCCTTCTTAAAGTATAAAAGGAAAATACTATTCAGAGATTTTAAAAAGGTGTTTTATTTGAACGGCTTACTTCAAAAACTCTACTACCAGAATGCTTCAACTGTTCATGTTCTCAACTCTACTCACAGTATTTATATCCCAACAATATCTTATGTGGACAGTATAATGGCAAAAAACAGTCAAAACTTAGCCATTTTACATTTTCAAGTACCCAGATCAAGAATGAAACTTGAGTGACTTCTTCCAAATCTTGGAAAAGACGTTAGCACTAACAGACATGCTCTTGAATGTAAGAGTAGTGCATTTCAGCCTCTGGCTTTAAAATCTGAGCCTCGACCCTCTCCCACCCTAATCATGCAGCCCAAACTAAAGCTTTGCTTTAACCTTTCCTTAGCTACAGGACAACCAAATTCCTTCCTACACAGACTGACAGTCTTGTTGCAAGTTCTGAGTCTTGGCTACCTGGGTTTTAAACTCGACTGTCACTATGTGACCTTGGTCCAGTGACTTCACTTCTGTCTTAAGTTTCTTGTGCAAAATAGTTAAAAACAGTACCTACCTCGAAAGATTTTTGAGAACTAAACGGAAAGCTCAAAGAAAGCCTTACACACAATCGGCGCTGTGGAAGCGTCAGCTACTATTACAGTAATAATGTGATGAACGCAAAGCGCTTCACACAGAGCCCGGCGCTGGAAAAATACCGATACTGTCATCATCCCTGGATTCAGGTTCCACAAATGAGCGCAGAGACCACTCCAAGATTAGGACAACTTAAAAAGGCTTTGGTGGTGGTGAAATGTGAGATTATGTCCCTTTGAGATGTGCACGACTGTCGCCAAGGACTAGAAATGGGTCTCTTGACTTCAGAACCACAAAGTATAAAATGAAAAGCAAACAAGATAGGAAAAAGGACCCCAAACCCGGTGGAACTCATACCCCCGGTCAAATTGCTTAGCGGAGGAAGAGGACCAGGACCGGAAACTCGATCTCGCAGAGAAAAGTGCGGTCCGCCGGGTCTGGCGAGTTGGATGGGAAAACCTCCCAATGTTCTCTGCCCCAGACTGGTAAGGTTCGCGGGGAGCTGTGAAGGGGCGGGAAACGTTGGGGTGGGGAGCGGAGATTTCAAATTTCTCGGGAAGGAAGGAGGCAAGGCTATAGTCTCTTGCAATGAATGACCGGCGGGCGGCGCCAAGTTCGGGACCACCGTGGCCTCCCCGCGGCGGCAGCTCCGGACCGCGAGCCAACTCTGGGGCTCCCTTCCGCGGTCCTACCGGCTCCAACTCCCCGCCTCGAGTGCCCGGGGCCGCCCCTTTCCGCCCCTCTTACCTTCCAGCAGCCGTTGGATAATGCTGTCGATGTTGAGTTTATCTATATCCGCCATCGCCTCCCCACCGCCGACCCTCCCGCAGCGGCACCGCCGCTGGCTCGCGCCTAGGACTCACACCCCTTCTTCTCACGCCACGAGCAGAGGCGGGTGGTGGCGGCGGTGGCAGCAGCCGCGGCGGGTCCCCCCAACCGCCTCACTCCTTGCTCTTCCCCCTTCTCTCCCCTACTGGAACCACGAGAAGAACAAAATGGCCGCCGACTCCTCAGCCAGCCTCGGGCGGCGCACGGATGCGCGCGGGGGAGTGCAGCGGCCCGGCCGGGACTTCTTTATGGGCCGTAGGACGCGAGGGAGGGGGCGGGGCTAGGGCTGGAGAGGAGGGTGGGATTCGGGAGATGGAGGGGCGGGGCAGGGAGACGGAGGGGCGTGGCAAGGGAGGGGGCATAGATGGTTGAGCGTTCTTGCATCCACGCGCGGGATCCTTCCGCCAAACGAGCCGAACAAATAGGCCGCCTGGCCCGAGCGGGAGTTGCAAAGTTGCATGCGGCACCTGGGAGTCTGGAAGAGGCTATGGCTCTGGAACCCAAGGCTTGCGACCTCCGCGGGATCTTTACACTGGGGTTCAATGTTTGCAGACCTGGCCTTGTGCGAGCCCACGGAGAGATTTCGGAGATCCTGGAATTCATCCCTTTAGATAAACGTGGATGGAGAGGGAGAATAATAAAGAGAAGTAGGTTGGTTCAGATACTGGGACTTGGGGGAAGAGGATTTAATTGGCAACAACAACAACAACAACAACAACAACAAAAACCTCTCCTAGATAAGCTAAATTGTTCACAATTAATTCATGATGAGTGGTAGGAATATGACTATTTGTATATTATTTTTGTGCACTTCTATAACTTTAGTGCGGGGGAGATATTCCTTAAAAACGTCCTCTCTGTCTTCGAGTTGTCTTCCTTGAACACGGGAAGTTATGTAATCAATCACCGGAGCGGCTGCCCGACTCCAGCCGGAGCTGTGCAGCAAATGAAGCCTTGCGAGTTCGCGCACCGGCCCGGGTCTTCTCTGGCTCCTCAGCCTCCCCAGGAGTCTTTCTCCGGGGGACCCCAAGATGCCATCTCTGGGGCTGCGTCGCGGCGAGCTGGGGTTGGGAGTGCAGCCCACGCTCAGCAGAGGCATCTGCCTCACCTATTCCGTTTCTTTGGGAAGCGCTTTACAGTTTGCAAAGACCATCCCCTCCGCAGAGGCATTCATTGTTTCTCAAGGCACAGGTTCCCTTCCCCGAGTGCTATCGAGGTGCCTGTTCCACCTGGGCGTCCGTTTTTGGAAAGTTTGTGTCTCAGGTGGCGTGGGATGGGGTCTACGAGCGCTGTTTCTGGGCATTCAAGGTTCAGGGTTTTCCTTTCTTGGTTCAGTTGCTAGCTCCGCTTTGCTCAGTCACTAACTCACTCTCCCATGCTGCCAGTCCACCCACCAGAAGTCACACGAGTGTCATTTGGCACTCGAGGCACTGAGCCCAGTTGATGACATTTGGGGGTCAGTGCCCAGGGCTGCTGTGAACATCTGCCTTTGAAGGTCGGTGTGGCTCCTGCCAGACTCCATGAGACCTTGGGCTGCTCCAGCGCAGGCCACATCACAGCAAAGGCATTTGGAACAGGAATGTGAAAGATTGCGTCACGGAGCAGACACATATTTATGGAGCATCTACTCCGTGTGAGGTGTTCCCGTCGGGGAAGTGGAGTTGAGCGAGACAAACAAGACCCTTCTGTCATGGAGAATCGTTTAGTAAACCAGACAGACAATAAACAGAGGTGCAAATAAAACTATCAGCTTATTTTACTTTTTTTTGATACCGGGGATTGAACTCCAGCCCTTGAGCTTGCCAGGAAGGCAGCGGAACCACTGAGCTAAATCCCTGGCCCTAATCAGCTTATGATAAGTGCAATAGAGAAAAAACATAAACACTGCACTCTTTCTTAGTATGTGACACTGAGCTACATTCTCAGCCTTTAAAAAAATTTTTTTTGAGACAGGATCTTGCTAGAGTCTCTAAATTGGGGCTGTGCTCAAATTTAAGATCCTTCTGCCTCAGCCTCCCAGATTGCTGGGATAATAGGCATGTGCTACCATGCCTGGTTTAGGTTGTTTCTTTTCTTTCTTTTTCTTTTTCTTTTTTAATTGAAACAGGGTCTTGTTTTATAGTTCAGGTTGGCCTTGAACTCACTATGTAGCCCAGGCTGGCCTTGAACTCAGGGCAATCCTGCCCCAGCCTGCTGAGTTCTGAAATTACAGGAGTGCCACCACTAGGCCTGGCTTAAGTTGTTTACTGACGGTCCCACAGTTTGGAAGTCACAGAAATCGTGCTGGGAATTCAGAGCAGCCTGCACCCGCAGCTGTGATATCCTCAGGAAAAAATGCCCAGCCCAGGGACTCCCATGAACCCCGGCACTCGCTGTGGGCCTGGTCACTGTGGCCCCAGGTGGGATGATCTCGTGTGTCTCCACCCACAGTAAGAGTGACACGGCAGGTGTGTTCTCCTCTGCCCACATCCTAAGGGCTGGAGGAGGACTTCAGACCGAGATGGGACACGGGGACAGTCTCCAACGGCTCACTTCCCTTGAGTCCAGTTAGGAGGACATCAGCGGATGAGTGGCAGAGCTCACAGGGTGGGTGAGACCCAGACCCGACCCCAGTAACCAATAAACACAGGGAAAGGAGAACTGATCCCTATTTATTGGCACTTTTCTGCCCTTACCAAGGCTCGGCTCCCCCAAGGACAGCAGATCTGAGCATTTGGCCAGAACAGCGATGGCTTGATAGAGGAACAATCCTTTTCTTTCTTGGGGCCCTCAGTTTCCCCATCTGTAAAATGAAGACAGCAGGTTAAAATGTACCTTTCAAACTTCCCTAAGTCCACCGGGCTTGCTTAGGGGAGTTGCTGAAGGTAGTGAGAGGCTGATGAAGTAGGGCTGTGGCTTAAATATCTAAAAATCAAGCCAGGCTTGGCAGCACATGCCTGCAGTCCCAGCACTGGGGAGACTGAGGCAGGAGGATAGCTGTGAGTTTGAAGCCAGACCAGGCTACATAGTGAGACTCTGTCTCAACAAAAAACAGAAAAAGCAGGACTGGGGATTGAGTTCAGTGGTGCTGCACCTGCCTGGCAAGCACAAGGTCCTGAGTTCGATCCCCGACACCAAAAAAACCCCCCCGAAAACAAAGTAAAATATCTGAAAATCAGTAATGTCTGTGTGGACACTTGGGCTCACAGCCGCGGGGATCCAGGCCAAGCATGTGCGATGTTTGAACAGCTGGGCAGGGACAGTGTGAACCTTGTCCCCTCTGCTCCGCTCCGGTGGGCCAGTGTGGCTAGAGCGTCTGCATTTTCAGGGAAACTTGAACGTACGGACTTTTATGTGAAATGTTCCATTTTTAAAAGTTGGTTGTGAACTCAGACTCCTCTGTGGCTCGGCGCGAGGCAGACAAGCATCCGTGGGCGCCTCTGTCCCTGGCCAACATTCCGGACATGTGTTGTTGAGTGGGGGACAGGCCCCCTCTCCCCCCGCTCACCGAGTGTGGGGATTGTTGTGACGTGACCAACGGGACTGGAGGAAGACAGCTGCAGCTGGCACAGGGCTCCTGGGCATCCAGAGGTTTTGTGGGGTAGGAAACGGGGGATGTGGGTCCCGGCTCCGTGATCAGGGACACATTTTTATTTCAGCGTCCTGTGGTGTTACAGACAATGGCTTTTTCTTAGTGGAGAGTATCTTTAAAACAATTTTCTGATACATAAAAACAAAATCGTATGAAAAAACCCCCACTGAAACCCAGTATTTTACAAAATTAACATGCACCTAAAAAAAAAACAACAACCCCGTGGGGTGGTACACGCCTGTCATTCCAGCTACTCAAGAGGCTGAGGCAGGAGGATTGCAAATTTGAGGCCATCCAGGCAACTTTGAGGATTTTTCTGTTTGTTTTAGTTTTTTGTTTGTATATTTATGGTCCTAGGAATTGAACCCAAGGTCTTTGCACTAAGCTGCATCCCCAGCCCTTTTATTGTTTGAGACAGAGTTTTCTTTTTGATACCAGGGATCAAACTCAGGACCTTGCACTTTTGAGGAAGGTGGTGGAACCACTGAGCTAAATCCCATGGAAGGCTGAGGATTTAGCTCAGTGGTGCTGCTGTCTGCCTTATAAGCACAAGGTCCTGAGTTCGATCCCTGGGTACCAAAAAAAATTTACTTTCTAAATCCCCTGTGACACAGGGTTTTCTTAAATTGCTAAATTGCCCATGCTAACCTCAAATTTGTGATCGTCCTACTTCAGCCTCCCACAGTGCTGGTGTTATAAGAGTGTGCCTTATTTAGCAGCCTGGTCACAAAACAAAAAATAAAAAGCACTGGGTTCAAGCCCCAGCACACACAAAAAAGCAAAGTTATTTTAAAAACATGAAAATTATACATAGTAATGGGGTGCCACATGATGTTTTGATGCACATATGTACTATGTAGTGTTCTAATCTCATTAAACATATCTGTCATCTCAAATATGTATTATTTCTTTACGGTGAAAATACTGAGCTGGGCGTGGTTGTGCATGCCTGTAATCCCAGTACTGGGGAGGCTGAGGCAGGAAGATCACCATGAGTTCAAGGCCAGTCCAGACTACATGGTGGACCCTGTCTCAAAATACCAAAACAAAGAAATGAAACAATTTATTGCTAAGTACCTGGCATGGGTGCCCTTTCACAATCCAGAGTTAAAAAATGTTAACATTTGGTCACATTTAAGTTAGATTATTGTTTAGGCAAGAAAGAAAACAGCATTACAGTAGATCCCTTTTGACTCCGTTCTAGATTTTACTGCCTCCCTCTCCCCTCCCTGAGGTTCAGCCACCCCAAGAGTGCTGGGCAGGTGACCATGTTGTTACTAATTTGCAGCAGTCTGTAAACTAATAATCCACAAGGAAGAGAAACAACAGCCTTAGTCCCTGGGATGGGTAGATGGAATGGATTTTTGTTGTTGTTGAGACAGGGTCTCGATATGTAGTCCAGGCTGGCATTGAACTCACTATGTGGCCCAGGCTGACCTCAAACTCACTTCAATCCTCCTGCTTCAGCCTCCTGAGAGCTGGGATTACAGGCATGCACCATCACGCCTGGCTGGAAGGGATTTTTTTAAATTTCATTTTTTAAATTAATTGTTCATTGGTACACTTTAGGTATATATAATGATCACATTCATCATAGGGAATTTGTATCTGTACATGATATATCTTTGTTCA